ATAGTGTCCTGGGATTGTTTTGGTGTCTGCATAGCTGGTGTAATCAGCTATAGTTGCATCAAATGGTACTAAATGATTCACTGCATTCTTCACTGCATTTTGCAGCTCAACCTCATCCGTCTTGTCTGAATCAATGCTCAGCACCACGTTTTTCCTGCATATGAAATTGAATTGCGGCGCCTTGTTCTTGAATCCAGCCACTCTCAGCACATCCCCAACTCTATACCTATACAGCCCTGCAACAGCAACAACCAAATTCACCACCCATTAACTATTTTGCCTTTACAAACTATACCACTGTTTTATACATTTATATAGGTATATATATGTGATGGGAAGAAGGATAGGAGAATGAGATTATACCAGCATAGGTGGTGACAACGAGCTCATATTCTTGGCCAAGTTTGACATCAACAAGATCAACAAGTTCTTGCTGTTCTTTCTCATTGAGTGATTTAGGAACATTAATGGAGTTAGTCACTCCATTATTTCTCTGAACGGGCAAGAACTCGAAATAAGCCATGGTGGGGATAAGGGTATAAGCCACTTCACTTGGCTTGCACATAGGTTTAAGGTTGACACCAAAGTAGCACTCAGACGAGGCATACATGGTGCAGACAAGCGGCAAGCCATTGCTGTAATAATCAAGAGTCGGTATGTACTGAGACATGGCGCCAGTGACAATAACTTCAATATACTTGGTGTTAGGCCAGAGCTTGGTTATAATCCCTTGCCATGACTCTTTCCTGCACTCGCCTTCAATGAAATCCGCAAGCTGAGGATCAGGTTTAAGGATCTTCATGACGGATTCCCGGACAGACTGGTCTGTGATTTGGGCGTCTAGGACACCTGTCCTAATGTCATTACAGAGGAGAGGCCAGTGTTTTTCGAGAAACCTGATTGCTCTGATGAAACCAGAAGCGAAAACAGCACCTACCCTTAAAACTTCCTTATGGAGACAAAGGCCGCAGAGGAGTTGAGAGTACATGCTCTGGTAGGAATCAGGGCAGAGAATGGTTTCATTTGGGCTGGTGTAGTTGGTGTAAGGGTCATATGGCCTGTCCTTAAAATGGGAGCTTTTGTAGTAGCTAGTGAGCACCGGACGAGCCAGTAGACCACCGGGTGTCTTAGCTTCTGATTTGATGAAATAAAAGTACATTCCTTTGCCTTTTTCTAAGCCAGGAACGTATTGGCTCATCACAGGCATTAACAGGCTATAAAGCAGTGATCTTCGGTCAAGCTCCTCCTCAATCGTCGGCATCAACTTCCTCTCCCCGCCGGATGTTCCCGAGCTGCAAAAAAAAAAAATGATCAAGACACAATTTTTAGATACACCCACCTGAAAACTCCATCGACCCAGTAACCAAAACAATACCAGGAATCAATCCATGCGAAGGAAATGATTACCCACCTGGTCAGAAACTCGGAAATGGGTTTAGAACAGAGGATGGGAGAGGTGTCGCCATTGGCGATGCGGTTTATGTAAGGCTGAACGTCTTCGTAGGTAATGACAGGGACGAGTTTCTTAAAAGTTTCTCGATCGGTTTGGCCGGAAATGCCTTGTTTCCGCAAGTACTCGACGTGAGCATTGCGGGAAAGGATTTCCTCGAGGACTTTTTTCTGAACCTCGTCGGCGTTTATGGTGACATCTTCAATGAATTGAAGCATCTTCTTGTTCTTCTCCGAGAGGTTATAGGAGTTGGTTTTTGGTGCTTCAGGCATGATGAATTGAATTTTTAATTTGTTATTTGTTTTTCCTCCTCTAAAAAAGTAAAAAAAAAAAAGGAAGGAGAAGAGATGAAGATGAAGGTGTTTGGGTGGTGATGAAGTTGTGTTTTTTGGGCTTTGGGAGAAGTCGGTGTGAGGGAAAAAGAGAAGGAGAAGTGGGTTTATATAAAGGTAGAGGCTTGCTTCATTTTGGGAATTATGGAGTAAACAAACAAGAACATGGAGGCTATAAATGTAAATTCATTCTTCTTTTGAGCATGCTTCTATTACACACAAGAACATGGAGTTTCCATGCATTTATGTTCATTTCTTTCAAAAAAAAAGCTAAACAGTATATATAGGAAAGGCAAACTTCTATATTATAATAAAATATAATAAAGATTTACAAAACATCAATACCTCTAAATAACTAAAAAATTCCCAAAAAAAGCTTATTATTAACTACACAAATAAGTCAAACTCCACTTATAACCCCCTTTTTTTTTTTTATAAATTTTTGGCTAACAAAACTTTACCATATACTAACCCACCAATGGTTTCACAATAATCCCATGAACCCACCTGTCGTACTATCAAACCCTCTTAAATTTTATTTTATTTTATTTAGATAGACGAAGAAATCAATTTTAAATTTTAATTTTGACTTTTTGCAGAGCTAAGTTTCATTGCGCACGGTGTGCTTGTCTATTAATCAAGGTGTTTGTTTCCATGTAAGGACAACATTCGGTTGAAGAAAACCGGATTAGAACCGGCATTTCCCGGTAAACCCGCAGTAATTTAACCGCGCTTGTACCGCGGGTGTCCCACAAAATACCGGCAGCCACAAACGGCGTCGCCTGATATTTCTCGCGAGTTTTTGAGTCAATGTATCACGAGAATCGTTTCGGTATATGTGTAGTAGTAGTTGTGTACGGTAAATGTTTAGGGGGTTTCTTGTTCGCGTATCCAAACTGGAGCTGCCAGCTGGCTGCCAAACTCCATAGATTGACACGTGTGCAAATGGAAGTTTAGTGCCTTCACGTAGTTTCATTGTAGTTGCTCGTTTCCTCGGAAATTAATCGGCAAATAATCGTTTATGATTTTTCGTAATTATTATAAAAATTACATTTAGTTATTAAAGCCGAATTGATTAGTACACTATTAGTTGATTTAATTAATAATTAATTAGTTTAATTATTGATTTAAAAATATGTTTAGTAATAAAATTAGAAACAATTATTATATTATCTAAACTTGACATTTTATCATTGATCAAAATATATATTATTGACAATTTTAATATTATAAATATATTAAAATTTATCATCATAAGTTAAATAATATAAAAAATTGAAATAATTAAATCTCATGATTAAAATTAACTAATTTTAATTGGATCAATTTATTTTTTGCTCGTTTTTATGTTAATTTAATATATTTATCATATTATACCACGTAAATATCTAATTCATTATACCAATTAAATTACCCATTTGTAATTTTAGTTTTTGAAATTAAAAAAAAAAGTTAGAACATAATTTTTTTAATTAATTTTGATTACTCTAATTAAAAATATTTTATAGTTATAAATTATTTTATTTATCTTGATACGTTATAATTCACTATAATTATCATTGTAATTCTATCGATACATATAAATTAAATATTTATATCCAAATACTGATAATATATAATATATTTATAAAATAATAAATTTTTACAGTCATTGAATTTTAGTAATGCTTCATAATTTTATTTGTTTAGTCGTATAATATAATAAATAACATTAAATACAAATTTAAAAAAAAATCTCAAGTATGAAGTATATAGCATAAAAATTGATAAAGATTAATTTGTTTGACTTTTAAGTCAACCCTTTTGAAAATAGTTTTCTTCCCCAAAATAATTATTATGAAACATGTGGTGCATTTAAAAGCCATTCGATTTTAATAATTTCTTTTTAAATTATTTCAACCTTTGGAGCAAATATGAAAATTAATACTTGTCTCAATTATACAAAACATGGTATTTTTTTCTATACAATAATAATTATTATAATAGTAATAATGTATACTTACCCCAAAAAAAATGAGTATAAAATATATGGATAATTAAATATATTTATATTGGGTTCTTTTTATTTTATTTTATTTTACAATTAATTAATTTAGTTTATATATATATATATATATATATATATACATATGTATATGCAAAGAAGTAAGGGAAGTTTGAGAAATGATCAAAAGATTGGTAACCTAACCAAACTTAATTGACCATTGCGGATGAAAAAATAGACCAGCAACTAAAATTTATGTTCATAATGAAAATAATAATAATAATTGGTATAACCTTTAGAATAAAGAAATATATATATTTTGAGAAAGATAAAAAGCTAGCTAAAGCCAAACTATTCCGTGTTATTTGATTTTATTTTCGTTATTCAAAACTTCTAAATCTATACTTTTCTAAAACATATATATATATATATATTATTTGATTAATTACTATAATTGGTCGGTCCAATTTCTTAATATTATTGATAGATATACAAATTTACTAACTTGCTAAGTTATTAATTTAATTTTTGAATTATAATTTTAGCCACGAACATATGTAAAATTATTTCAAAATATAAGTTTGTATGAAAGTTTTTGTAGAACTAATAGAAACTATTTTATTTTGTTTAGATGATAATATATAAAATTTTTATTGAACACAAATTAGAAAATTAAAAAACAATTCTTATTTATATTTATTTTTATTAGAAAACACATGATATAAATAAAATGACTCTCGTCCTTATATTTATTAAGGATTAATCACCTTCGATGAGTATAATTTTATAATTTTCAAACTCCATAAAATGCAAAATATTAACAAAAAATTTATATATATCATTTATGAAAAAAATTTCTCAATATTATAAAAAAATCACTTAAATTTTTTTTATAAATTTAAAAATAAAATTAATTTTAGAACTTATCGGATTAATTCGGACGTTGAAATACATAAAGTTTCTTTTTTTTTTTTTCCTAAATTTCTTTTTTGGTTACTTGCAATTTAAAGTATATTTGTTGACATTTATTTTAAAGTTGACTACCAAAAATTGAAGTTCAATGTACATTGACAGACAAAAAATGAATTAGTCAATAAAAACCTACAAATATATATGTTTCTTCCAACCCCCCACCTCCCTTTTTGTCAATGGATCGAGGGATCTTACAGTTTGGATTGATGCATCAAATAACTCTATATATATATATATATATATACACACACACACACAGAGACACAAGTATATAATATATATTCTTACAAAATTAAATAATACGTGACATGAAATTAATGTCTTAGGTAGATCATTCAATGAAGATATTATATATATATATATATATATATATTATAAAATTGAATTAAGATCAAAGTGGCGTCTCCGTGTATGCATAAATATTGTGTAATTGTTGGTACAAACACGAAATGTTGAATATTATTAGTGTACTTTTAGTGATATACGTTGCTTCCTCTAGCTTTTTCCATTGAATCTATTTGATATATATATATATATATGTAACTATATAAACCTTTTTAGAATATATATATATATATATATATATATATATATACGTATAAGCTCTATTGTAACGTTTCACTATGGTGTCACCATAATAGTTGCAACGAGTGCAGCATGGTCTCTTCTTCTTCTGATATTCGTTCATAGAATTCTTATTCATCTTCTTAGAACTACTGTAACATTGTGAGATATATGTGTGTGTATATATATATATATATATATTATATGTATGTATATCAGAAGCTAATATTCGTTCATAGAAGCATTTTGATTCCATGTGTCGTTGTATGTATAGTGTACCTAACAAATATAGATACAAGTTTTAAAGGTCAAACAATTCATACGTGGTCTATAAAGCACGCACATATATGTTTCTTGCCGCCTCTTCATATTAATTAAAATTAAGACACAACAAAAAACACATATTTTTACATAATATATATATATATATATGATCCTTGTCGAGGTTACGTGACCTTTTTCTTATTTATTAATTAATATTTAATCAGAAGAATTAATACGATGGATGATATATATATATATAATTTAATTAGATGCAATAAAATTAAAAGGGGAATTAAATTTAAAAAAAATTAATTAGCTAAAATTATCTTTCAAAAACTATAATTCATTCTAATTATAAAATCTTCATAAATTAAAAAAATAATAATTTTTTTTTTTATAAATAAAAAAGACGTCGACTGGAGGAGTCAATCCTCGGCGATCTACGCAGCAAAAATCGCCACGTCAGCATAGAGCACCGAAAGTTCACACCATATCGTATACCCTCCCCAGAAATCAAGAGAGGCTGTTGTTGGGTCAAGCCAAAGAGCTCCACCGAAAGCTGATGTCATCGCCACGTCATTAAATTGCTCTCCACCAATGATGTCTCCACTTTTGACACGTGTGCACGCCCCGCCCCTGTCGCCACTTGTCCAGCAAACACCCCCGTGAATTATCACACGTGTTGCCCTTCCCCACTTCCTTGACCGGTCAACGCCCGTGTGGTATTCCAATCGGACGGCTCACATGACATGTACCGGAAAAAAAAAAAAAAAAAAAACCAATCAAGGTAAAAGGAAATTAGAATGACAACATACAATTTTTATTTTTATTATAAAAATTTCACCGTTTATAAATTACTAAAAAAAATTTTAACTGAAGCAATTACAATATTTTTTTTATATTTTATTATTTGTAGACAGCTTCTTTTAAAATATTAAAAAAAGAATTTTATAATTTTTAATTATAAATATTTTTTTAGATAATTTAGTAAAAAGCAATAATTAGTAAATAAAATTATGGTGGATGTCTAGTGTCCTTGGTTTGAGGAGGAAGAAATCGTGGGAGGGCGGGTGCACCGATGCAGGTAGGACCGCACCCAAGTGGGAGGTTGTGGTGTTTGACTGAGGGTTTTTAGGGAATGTCCCATTTATATTTATATATTTTTTAATTTAATTAAGAATTATGTTTATAATTATTAATTAAAAATTAATTAAAGATAGAAGAATGTGTGTGTAATGCGAGGGAGTGTGGCGTGTGTGGGAGACAGAAACAGTAATGCAGATCTTT